GGTATCCAAGAGGGGGGCTAATAGAGAGATGGGGGTTATTTGAGAGGTGGACCTAACAGAGAGGTGGGGTATCCAAGAGGGGGGCTAATAGAGAGATGGGGGTTATTTGAGAGGTGGACCTAACAGAGAGGTGGGGGTATCCAAGAGGGGAGCTAATAGAGAGGTGGGCATGGTAGAGCATTTACAGTACGTTGAAACAAATTACTTTAATGAGTTTCATTCAAAAATGCTTAACCTGGCAACAGCGTATAGAGTAATAATAACCTGAAATCTGATTTGGATCTTCGTAATTTTCTTCCTAAAACAATGAATTACACTTCGTGAGATATTAACACCAACTCACTTTCTGCCAGTGACCTCTCTATATATCTGGAGCAAGAACTTCAGTTAGGAGCAGAAACTTCTTCCAGGGAATAGTGCCCTTCTCGACCAGAAAGGAGGGGACTACGAGCCTGCCTGTGTGCCTGCCTGCTACATTAGCTATAGCATAGATAAACATACAGAAGGGTACGATTAGCCCTAATTGATGGATTTAGCTTTAAGGTCACAACATAATGATATGCACAATTTCACTAAGTAATATTAAACTAGTCAAACCAGTGAATTTTGAGTTCAGGCTGGAGTGGTTCTTATATAATCTTACTTCACACTATACTTTTTTCTATTCTACACATTAATAGGGACTGGTATTGCATAAAACTATTGCTATGACACTAGTATGGTTCTCGTTACATATATCTAAACTTTAAAAAACTTTTTAAAACTTGTATTTTGGGTGCTTAATTTCCAAAAGTTCAGGCTGGTGGTTCTTAACCTACTGGTTCTTTTATGCGGAGCCTTGCTGTACCAAATTTGACATGTAGTGTACTTACAGGATCCATAGCGACAACTGGTTTGTTTCCTGGGAAAATAGAAGAAACACATTTAAATCGAGCTTGAAAAATAAATAAACAAAATATCGTTTATATAATCTTACTTCTCTGCAGTTCTGGAGGCTCATAGTTTTCCTAGAAAAAAATGAATAAAAGAGAAAATAAGAGATTATTAAAATAAATTGATTCAGTATTTTACTTTGTTGCAGTTAGAGTCCGGAGACCTAACCTGTTCGATTTCAACAGGAGGTTTTACTGCTGGTTTCTTTGGATCTGGAATATAAGAATGCTACCATCAGCTTTGGTTTGCATCAATTTGGTAAGAAGCGGTGGAGTATGAAATTAGTATTTTGACCCGGTTGGGTCTGGCCCAATATGGCATGATGTGGTACAGTATACAAATAATGAATGTTTTCATTCCATATTCCATATCACGTGATCACGACGTGCCATGTCGTCATGGTACAGTTAGAATTACCAGAAGGTAGAAAAATGTTCAAACAAAAAAACTTACGTCTTGGTGGCTGATCTAGAGGTTCGTAAGTTTCCTAAAATATATCATATATGAAAATATCAATGAGGACGTTAAGATACCCAAGTTCCGGTTTACGGGTACGGATATACCGTCATCAGGGGGGCGCACATTAGGCAGGGGGATATAACCCATAGCACTCAAAAATCAGAAAAAGTCGGTCTCAATTTTGTTTGAGGCTGTATCAAAAGTCGGCCCCGAATTTCAGCCATGAGAATTGTTTAATCCACATGCCACAAATGTCTGGTATAGACTGGAACTGATTAGCCTCCCTAAAATAAAACCTGTTCCACTGCCACTGGTTGTAGAGTACAAGAAAGTCGCTCCCCACAGCCTGATCGCCATTTTGTCGTTTCCCCGCCGTAAACCAGTCTACACGTGCTTTCACTTTACTATTTGTAGGGCTTTAAGAAGTAAAATACTTCAACATCTTACACAAATAAATCAATGCATATTTGCTCGTTAAATATTTCCCAAAACTATCAGCATATCTTGAATTTCTTACCTAACCTCAATTTTTATTATTTCATTCTTAAGAACTTCTGAAATGATGTAATGACTTATTTTGAAGACTTCTGTTTGCTCACTTTGTTTCTGAGATATTTCAGTTTGTCTGGTATGCAAATATCCGGAATTTACGTCACAAATGCATGATTTAAAGTAAAAGCTTGTATATCGCATTCACTATCGATTTTAATTCATTAAAATGAAGTTTGGAGTTGTGGGAGGATTACATACCTATGTAAAACACCATTTAGCCTTTTTATTTCATGATATTTAACTGTACCTTACACTCTTTGATCAGTCATTATTCATATGTGACGTAAATTCCGGACATTTGCATATCAATAAAACTGAAATAACTCAGAAACAAAGTGTGCAAACGAAAATCTTCAAAATAAGTTACAACATCATTTCAAAGGTTCTTAGGAATGAGAACTACAAATCTGTTCAGTCATTATTCATATGTGACGTAAATTCCGGACATTTGCATATCAATAAAACTGAAATAACTCAGAGACAAAGTGTGCAAACGAAAATCTTCAAAATAAGTTACATCATTTCAAAGGTTCTTAGGAATGAGATGTTAAAATAATTAAGGTTAGGTGCACTTTAAACGTAAATAATGTGTAAAGAAAATGAGATGAGAGTACCTGTTCTGGTTCTGGAGGTTTCTTCTTATTAGGTGCTTTCTTCTTCTTGATGACTGAAGAAATATGCATTGATAAGGAGATTTTACCATTGTGTGTTTTGACATGCATGACATGTAAAAAACGCACAACTTGTTATAGTCAACAAATCTGTTCACAAGCTGTCGACAAGTTGTGTTCGCATTGCTTGTTCCCAGTTGTTGTAACAAGTTTGGAACAGGCTGTCAACAACTTGTAACAAGCTTGATGGCATTATCAGACTTATTACAAGATTGTTCTAACAAGTCTGATACAGTCATGATATAACAAGAATGTTACAAGGTTGACGACACAAGGTTGTAACAATATTGTTATATCATGACTGTATCGGACTTGTTGGAACAACCTTGCAACAAGTCTGATAATATCAACAAGGTTGTTATAATGGTTAACAGTTTGTTTTAAACTTGTTGACAACTTGGGACAAGCAGTGCGAACACAACTTGTTGACGGCTTGTTGGCAGACTTGTTACACACTTGTTACACACAGACTTGTAGTTCGTAGGTAAAGACAAAGCTGGACAACTGGACAAAAAAACAGTTTCATATTTTCAATAGACCAACGAAAAATTCGTTGGCTCGAGCAGGATTTGAACTCGCATCTTCGGGTATCTAGACTGCCGTTCTACCCGTTGAGCTATCGAGTCAACGGGGATTGGTAGCGTTGGTCTATTGCACATTAACATGAAACTGGTTTCTCGTATCTCTGAGGATGGTTCTGCAATCACGTCCCAAAGTTCAATCACATTTTATGATAAGGTGTGTAAGTAGATAATTTTAAAATAGCAACCATTAATATTACCTGAAGACTGTAGCTTTTCACCAAGGCCATCGGAGTCCGACCATTCACTGTCTGAGGAATCTGAGACGAAGAAATAATCGTCATCAGACATCACTTCCATGGGACGTCCTCGGTAATCATCAGAGATCGCGTTAGTCAAGATAGCTTGACTGCTCACTTCTGCAGAAATCTCTCCCGCCAATTTCGTTAGTTCAGCTACGCGACTGTCTATAACAACATCTGTAAAATAATTTGATAAATGTTTAGAAAAAATACAAGGTAACTTTATCATCCCGTGTTACAATAGTTTAGTTTAGGTTTCCTCCTGTAGTAACACTGGATCAATAAGAGATGATCTTTACTGTACCTCTAAGGAGAACAGTTTAGAACTGATAGAGCTATCTAGTATAAATAAAGTTAGTTTAGTTAAAGTTTCCTCCTGCAGTAACACTGGATCAATAAAAGATGATCCTTACTGGACCTCTAGGAAGAACAGTTTAGAACTGACAGAGCTATCCAGTATAAATAAAGTTAGTTTAGTTTAGGTTTCCTCCTGTAATAACACTGGATGAATAAGAGATGATCCTTACTGGACTTCTAGTAAGAACAGTTTAGAACTGATAGAGCTATCCAGTATAAACAGAGATGTTTAATTAAAGTAATATCTGTTATTTCTACTGTAAAACGCCGCCTTCAACTGACCATCAAATCTGGGTTCATCCATTTCTTCGCACAATAAATCTTCGTATAAATCCTCATCTTCGTCCACGTGTGAGGATTTACTGTACACAGGGATGTCACCGGCCGTAGTAAGGCTGTACACAGGCATGTCAAAATCCATAAAAAGTCCAAAACTCTAAAAATTAAAAATTAAAATTTTTGCGTGAGAATTGACTGGCTATTATTAGCAGCAAAATTCTTGAGAGTTGATGAGAAGCGAGAGTTTGCATGAAAGGGTTCTCAACTCTTATGCCCCGGTCAAACGAGTTGCATGAAAGTTGACAGGATGCAACGGTTGAAAAAATTACTAGAGACTTTTGGATTGACGTCAAACCGCTAACGAAGTGTTTGATTTTACAACTCTATTATAACAGCTTTTACGACAGTTTTGAAATATATTAAATAATTATTAAACTTGTCCTCCTTAACAATGATGATAAATTTTATGCTTGAACTGCTACGAGGACGGGTAGTCGTTAAAGCATCAAATTTATACGCCAAACGTCAACTTCACACGCTAAATCTTAAATTAGTGCTTTGGTGAGTACATGACTAGTGGTTCATTTGCTTTCTTAAATCATTGCTTAAAGTTTAATAACTGTTTAATATATATCAACAATGGTGTAAAGCTGTTTATAATGAGGTTGTAAAATCAAACACTTCGTTAACGGTCTAACCGGTTTGCCGTTAAGAAAATGATTTTTGAAATGGGGATTTCGAGCTATGTACCAAACTATACCCAAATACCCACAACCAACCGCGTATTCTTCTTCGTCTTCTACTTCACTGTCCTCTAACCAACCAATATATCCCAAGATATCCACACTCTCCCCATCAAGAATTTCTTCAACATCCGGCGCGGAGTCAAAGGTTTCGCCCTCCTCCCGTTTCTCGATTGCCACAAAGCTCGTAAATTTTGATGTCACGGAATGTTTCTTGCTTATTTCAATAATGTAATCTTTCCGAGATATTTTCACAGCCTAGGGGATAAAAAGGAACTCTAAGACAAGGCGTCCCGAAAGAAATGCAATAAGTATGTCATAGAGTTGTACACAGTATTTTTTAGTTGGAATCGAATGATTGAAAATTGAATATAAGAGATGATTTTTGATACTAAGAAGATTAAATAGGTCGAGAACCAATGTTGAGGCTATTTTAAAATAAAGTATGGTTCACCCAAAGGATCAATAGTTCTGTTGACCCCTTAATTCAAACAACATTGCTTCTACTACCGAGGAGCCCAAACAGAAACTGGACGCTGTTTCATTTCATGTAACGTAAAAACTATATAAAAGCTATCGCAATGAAATAAAGATCATTGCATTCAGAAAGGACTAACTTAGATTTTGATATATGGCGCTTGAATTTACATGCAATATTGAATGCGCTATTGATGTTGAACTACAGTTTTTGAAAATGCCAAAAACTAGCATAAAACAACCTTATGATTACCGATGTAGTTAGGGATGGACCATTAGATTTTTGAGGGGGAGGTTGGGCAAATACCAAAAAAAATTCGAGCAGAACTTTAACCAAGAAAAAAAAATATCTTGCACAAGAAAACTACAGAAAAAAAAAATCGGGCATAAATAAATTTTGCATAATACAGTGATAATTTTTGTAAAATACAGTCAATTTACATTCAATTCATTTGCAAATTTGCTTTAGAAAATGCCAAAAGTGCAGTCCTAGAGCTTCAAAGATGTAAAAATCTCCCAAAATTTAGTCACAAAAAGCTTTATTAAAATTATTTAAAGATTGAAGTTCAAATTTCAGTTAAAATCCTCCGACCGCCCTACTATATATATATTATTCGAAGAAAAAAAAATATCCTGCAAGCGAATCATGGCGAAAAAAAAATTCCTGCACATCTTTGACCGACAAAAAAACATATCATGCACGACCCCTAAAATCCCCCCCCCCTCAAAAATCTAATGGTCCATCCCTTATACTTGTTACATCATAAATATTTTTATTTGGTTGTATCTCGCTCAATAATATTGCATGTAATTCTATTTCAGAACCATCCTCAGAGATACGAAAAACTATAGTTGCATATTAATCTGACACTGCAATCGAGCAACGACAAATTCGTTGGCTCGAGCGGGATTTGAACTCGCATCTTCGGGTATCTAGACCGCCGCTCTACCTATTGAGCTATCGAGTCAACAGGGATTGGTAGCGAGTCTTATCCAATTTAAGTGCACGAAATATTTTCGTGACAACTTAACGCTTGTCTTAGAAGACGCGCAGTGTTTCAATTCTATTTCAGAACCATCCTCAGAGATACGAAAAACTCGAGTGGAAAGAGAGAGAGACTCGCTACCAATCACTGTTGAAAGACTCGCTAACAATCCCTGTTGACTCGATAGCTCAATAGGTAAAGCGGCGGCCTAGATACCCGAAGATGCGAGTTCAAATTCCGCTCGAGCCAACAAATTTTTCGTTGCTCGATTGCAGTGTCAGATTAATATGAAACTAATTGCATGTAAATTCAAGTGTTATATATCAAAATCTAAGTTAGTTCTTTCCGAATGCAATGATCTTTACTTCATTGCGTTAGCTTTTATAGTTTTTACGATACATGAAATCAAACAGCGTCCAATTTTTTGGGACACCCGGTATAGACTAATTATTTTATTAATACCTTTTCGATGGCCACTAATCCATAATTAACTGTGCAATATTCTGCAACACAGCTATGACATTCTAAAGCCCTGGGCAAACTACGAAACATTGTTGCGGAAACATTGTTTCCTGCGAATGCTTCGCCATGTTTCCCAGAGTGGGCAAACACTAGGAAACATTAGTGAGAAACATAGGGAAACATCAAATGTTTCTGAATTTGCTAGGAAACATTTTTGCTTCTCGGGAAGCAAATTTTGTTTCTGCAACAATGTTTCCACGGGTGGGCAAACATGGAAACATTTGAGGAAACATCGAGAATCACAAATGTTTCCACAACAATATTTCCTAGTTTGCCCAGGGCTTAAGACAAAGCTAGCCCCCCTCTCCTTACCCCCACCTACTAACCTGGTGATGTAAGTGATCCGGTGCCAATAACCCCTCTTCCCAGTCATTAATCAATGCTCGGGCCGTCAACTGATGCAAAGTTGAACCAGAGGTGATACTCAAATCTGAAGTTGAAACCATTGTTGATATTTCTTTGCCATTGATCTCAGCCTTTAATGTTGCCTGCAAAAGAATAAAAATCACAATTTCTGTGCAGAGTGAAAAAGTTGTGGCAAATGTGCATTAATTACAACTGGATCAATAAGAGATGATCCTTACTGGACCTCTAGGACGAACAGTTTAGAACTGATAGAGCTATCCAGTATAAATAAAGTTAATTTAGTTTAGGTTTCCTCCTGTAGTAACACTGGATCAATAAGAGATGATCCTTACTGGACCTCTAGGATGAACAGTTTAGAACTGATAGAGCTATCCAGTATAAATAAAGTTAATTTAGTTTAGGTTTCCTCTAGTAGTAACACTGAATCAATAAGAGATGATCCTTACTGGACCTCTAGGGAGAACAGTTTAGAACTGATAGAGCTATCCAGTATAAATAAAGTTAGTTTAGTTTAGGTTTTCTCCTGTAGTAACACTGGATCAATAAGAGATGATACTCGCCTGGGCCTCTAGGAAGAACAGTTTAGAACTGATAGAGCTATCCAGTATAAATAAAGTTAGTTTAGTTTAGGTTTCCTCCTGTAGTAACACTGGATCAATAAGAGATGATCCTTACTGGACCTCTAGGAAGAACAGTTTAGAACTGATAGAGCTATCCAGTATAAATAAAGTTAGTTTAGTTTAGGTTTCCTCCTGTAGCAACACTGGATCAATAAGAGATGATCCTTACTGGACCTCTAGGAAGAACAGTTTAGAACTGATAGAGCTATCCAGTATAAATAAAGTTAGTTTAGTTTAGGTTTCCTCCTGTAGTAACACTGGATCAATAAGAGATGATCCTTACTGGACCTCTAGAGAGAACAGTTTAGAACTGATAAAGCTATCCAGTATAAATAAAGTTAGTTTAGTTTAGGTTTTCTACTGTAGTAACACTGGATCAATAAGAGATGATCCTTACTGGACCTCTAGGAAGAACAGTTTAGAACTGATAGAATTTAGTTTAGTCAAGTTGTTATGAGATATTTATACCTGTGTACAATATGGGACAAATCCATACACAACTTGTCTTGAGCCATTGAAGAGCGACAAAATCTGGCTGGGAGCCTGGATCGGAGTCGGAGCATCGTTGTCATACTGTTGCCAGGCAACAGAAACTGACGTCAGCACAGGTTGTTGAGATTTGCTCAATAAGGATTGGACTTTTCTTTGCCATTTTGACTTGACTTTTGAATCAAAATATTCTGAGGCGCCAGCACCGACTTTTGCCATTGTCCGTAAGAAATAACGGTTTGCCGAAGAACTAGGGGACAAAAGAAAAAAACACGTCAAACGTTGATTTATCAATGGTAAGATTAATGGTAGATAATGCAGATGATTATAAAAGCTCAGCAACTGACTTTTATGCAAGATATAACCAGTGAACTCCATATGCTCGAGTCCAAGACATATTGCTCTAGATATATTTACCATAATTAACTGTGGTCAACAACCTTGTTGCAACTTGTTAACAAGCTGGGAACAAACAATACAAACACATCCTGTTGATAACAATGTTGTTGAAACAGAATTGCTACAAGTCTGCTGTAGGTTTGTTACAAGTTGTGTGTTATTGCACGTGTTGTTTTACATTTATAGAGACAGAATGTATATTCTTAGACAGGGACGCCGGAAGATCGATAATTGGGGGGGGGGGCAGATATTCATACATTCGTGTTCACAGACTGTAAAAACAATCGATTTCAAAAGAAATTAATTGGGCAGAACAGGAATATATGAATATCTGCCCCCCCCCCCCAATTATCGATCTTCCGGCGTCCCTGTTCTTAGATGAAACTCAATAATTAAAAGCTTCGCTAGCTTTTATCACTAGAATGACATCAGTTAGTGAAGACCACCACTTACCCAACACCGAACGTAAATATTCTGGACTGTTGATGGTTATGTGAGGCCAACTTCAAACTTAACTCTTCTTCAGTCACGTGACCATCACTCAGAAGACACACGTTTCTCACGTGGACATCAGCTTTGACTGGAAGAAGACTTAAAGCTTTCAGAACTTTCCAAATATCCGTGGCGCCCATATCACTGCTGCAGCGCTGGAAAAAAATAAAGTTTTAATAACGAGTTAAATCAAATTCATGCGAAGGGCATTAAATACTTAAAATTTTCAAAATCATGTATTAGCGAGGTGTCTGTATTAGAGAGGTGTCTGTATTAGAATGATGCCTGTATTAGAGAGGTGTCTGTATTAGAGAAGTGTATGTATTAGAGAGGTGTCTGTATTAGAGAGATGTCTGTATTAGAGAGGTGTCTGTATTAGAGAGATGTCTGTATTAGAGAGATGTCTGTGTTAGAGAGATGTCTGTATTAGAGAGATGTCTGTGTTAGAGAGGTGTCTGTATTAGAGAGATGTCTGTGTTAGAGAGGTGTCTGTATTAGAGAGATGTCTGTATTAGAGAGGTGTCTGTGTTAGAGAGATGTCTGTATTAGAGAGATGTCTGTATTAAGGCCCGTTTACACGGGCGATTTTTGCTGCGATTTTAGTTGCGATTTTCTCCTTTTGAAGGATGCGAAGGAGTAGATTACTTAAGATGTTGTTATAAGATTTCATATCCTGGAACATTTATAACTCATCTACTCCTTCACATCCTCCAAAAGAAGAAAATCGCAACTAAAATCGCAGCAAAAATCGCCCGTGTAAACGGGCCTTTAGAAAAGTGTCCGTATTAGAGAGATGTCTGTATTAGAAAGACGTTTGTATTAGAGAGGTATAATTCACTTACTTTAATAAAGGTAGCAGCATCCTTCAAACTTTCTTCACTTTTCTGAGCACTCGCAGGAAATAATTCCAGCCAATGGCTTCCAAAGGCGATGACGTTAAATCTCGAGTTCGTTGGCAATTTGTGCAGAGTGAGTAGCAGAATTTTCTTGGCATTTTCCAACGGAGTACCCTTCGAAAAAAAACCATGACTCAATTAATATTCCTGCAATATACAGTGATCTGCTTAAAATATCGCCTCTGTTCCACGTGGAAAGAGTGCTTCCAGTTTGATTCAGCCAAAATACGCAGGTACTCTCAGGTTTTCTCCTGAGGTAACAGTGAACACATTGGGATTTAGACAAGGTCTGTTTGGTCAGGTTCAATGAATTGCATTTTCTGCAAATCTAGATACACATACCTTCATTGAGCACGAGACGTCCAACAAAAACACATATTCAATATTGTCCATGGGTTCCGCTTCAAACTCAGGGTAAAACGAAAGCATGCAAGCCTAAAAGATTCAGTATAAATAAAGTTAGTTTAGTTTAGGTTTCTTCCTGTAGTAACACTGGATCAATAAGAGATGATCCTTACTGGACCTCTAGGAAGAACAGTTTAGAACTGATAAAGCTATCCAGTATAAATAAAGTTAGTTTAGTTTAGGTTTCCTCCTGTAGTAACACTGGATCAATAAGAGATGATCCTTACTGGACCTCTTGGAAGAACAGTTCAGAACTGATAGAGTTATCCAGTATAAATAAAGTTAGTTTAGTTTAGGTTTCCTCCTGTAGTAACACTGGATCAATAAGAGATGATCCTTACTGGACCTCTGGGAAGAACAGTTTAGAACTGATAGAACTATTCAGTATAAAGTACGTCAGTGAAACATACTTGTGAGTCAGAATCCTCGGGAAGTCTCTCAACCCACATTCTAGGAACGTGAATCTCAGCCAAACCAACTAATAATTGAAATCCAGTACCAAGGTCTTGATCTGCCTTCATCTGAATCACAGCTTTTGCCGCTGTTTTCTATAGTTAATAATAAATAAAAAATAAAACTGGTATTGGTGTCAAAGTGGTCAGTACATGTGTTTTTCAGCTCTGTGACGGAGGTTTGATTCCTGCAATATACAGTTGTCTCATTATAATTTCACCTCAGTCACATGTGAGAAGAATGCTTCCAGTTTGACTCTATCAAACACCACAGGTTTTCTCAAAGAGCTTCAGTTTCCTCCTGTGGTAACACTGGATCAATAAGAGTCAATCCTTACTGGACCTCAGTCAAAACTTACATATGTGAATGGGTATATATTCCATATAGGTTAGAAAAATTACATTTTTTTATGAAATAAACATTAAAAAGACCTTCATCTTGACATCGTGTGTGGGGCAGTCGAGAGTCCTGATATCAAACGGCATCTCAACAGCGACGTGGATTGACAGCTCGCAAGGATTATTAACGTCAACTTTCACACTTTCAAGAACATCCTGTAATAGAGAATAAATAACAATGGTTGCTAAAACAACAACAACAATAACAACAGCAAAAACAACAACAATGACAACATAAACAAAATTATGTGATACAGATGTTCGCTTCATGGTAACAATAGACAATTCTCATTATAGAGTATTTTTTATCTTGTCAAAAAAGTATATTCCCGGAAGGAGCATACTAAAATGAGTAAAATTGCAAAGTTTGGTTGCGAAATGTTGTAAAATGCGGAAAATATAGCCTTTCAAAGTTCGCAAATTTTGTATAATTTTGTATACTTTTGTATTGCGTGCGGAAATTGTTACCATTTTCGGCCCAGATGTGGTAACAATTTCCGCACGGAATACGAAAGTATACAAAATTTGCGAACTTTGCAAGGCTGTATTTTCCGCTTGGTGATTTATTCGCATCTCCTTGCCTAGTTTTAAAATTAGTCTATAATGGGGATTGTCTATTACTTTATGTTGTTCTACATTTGAAAGGCTATGTAAGTACCAACGCATCACCTGTGTGCGATCTTTCAGTGCCTGATCACGTGACCAAGGTGCGAGAGAACCAGGAAGACTGAACACTATATTCTCATCTTCCACAGGCAGTTCAGCGACGTATGTTATCTTGATCAAGACTGTCGCTCCTGGAGGAATATTACCAACACTCACTGTAAACACATCCTGGTCGAAACAGAGAAGAGGAAACTCAAAATTTGACAACAAAAGTGAACAAAATTGCTTATTCTGTGTTGATAAAACACCTTAGTTTATATGATTGCAGTCAGGTAGATCTGATCTCGAGGTAGCCTGCTCGCAGCCGTTGTTATTCTTACGCAAAACGACAAAAAAACTAATAACAACGGCTGTGAGTAGGCTAATCTCAAAGAAGCTTTGTCAAATAAATAAATAAATAAATAAATAAAAAAATAAATAAATAAATAAATAAATAAATAAATAAATAAATAAATAAATAAACGTAGCGTTTCCACACGATAAAACAATTAAATTTACCACCAAGTGAACTTACAAAATACTAAGACTCTACAAAGACTCTACTGGATTTTTTAACACAATAATCACCACCATCATCATCACCATCACAATCAACACCATTATCATCTCAATCATCACAATCATCATCATCACCATATCAACACCATTATCATCATCATCATCGGCACAATCATCACTATTACCATCATCATCATACTCATACTCACTGGTGTTTCTTCATCCATCAAATAAGCACCATGTCCTTCACTGATTGCTTTTTTATATTCTCTATGCGCTTCTTCTTTTTCCTTCACTTCACCCACGATGTGTTTGCCATTGATGAACGCCTCGAATCCACACACTAGAAAATTAAATAAACCGCTTTTACCCTAAATCACTTCAACTCTAATATGAAACCAAAACTTTGAGATTACCCAACACTGAAAACCAGGCTATAAATTCCTAAAAACTTTGACGGTGTTTGTGGCACAATGGCTGTGTCTTTCCTCTCTGTGACCGAGGTTTGATTCTTACAGCACACAATTTTCGTTTTTCTCAGTCGCATATGTGAGAGACGGTCCAGTGTTACAACAGGAGGAAACGTAAGACGTAGCGAAAAATAGTACCGCGAGAATTGTCGGTACCCGGACATTTTGCCGAAAGACACTTTGCCGAAAGACATTTTGGCGAAAGACATTTTGCCGAACGGACACTTTGCCGACGGACGTTTTGCCGAACGGACATTTTGCTGAACGGACATTTTGCCGATCGGACAGTTTGCCGAAAAGACAACTTGCCGAAAATAGAGATGTTATTTCGTCAAAATGTTTGGGACTGTGACTCGTTTCTCAACAGTGTAATTATCAACTATTGAGTAAACTAACCATTATATGGTCATTAGCAGTGCATAATGGTCATTAGCAGCGCATATAATGGTCGTTAGCGGTGCGCAACTATATTGACTATTGGTAGCTTGTTTGTGCAGCGGATGACTCATTTGCTAGGAACGTGTTTTGACGTCAGGTCGTAAACAAACAAGACTTTAGTGTGTATAAAGACAACGACGTAAGCGAATTTCACTTCGAGAATCATATATGGAATACATTCACAGTTCTCGGGGAAATCGCATTCATGAATAGTACAGTACAGTATGAATGATTTTGAATGATGTTATTCTTTTATATATCATTAAATTTCGGTAAACTTAATTGAAAGAATATAAAACGAAACTATACTTCACTATCGACAATGACTTCAATTTAATTAATCACAGAAACTTTGACCGTATAAACGAACCTTTAAAGTTCGGAAGATATCTCCATTTTCGGCAAGTTGTCCGTTCGCCGAACCGTCCGTTCGGCAAACTGTCCGTTCGGCAAAATGTCTGTTCGGCAAAACGTCCGTTCGGCAAAACGTCCGTCGGCAAAGTGTCCGTTCGGCAAAATGTCTTTCGGCAAACTGTCTTTCGGCAAAGTGTCTTTCGGCAAAATGTCCGGCCACCGAATTGTCAAAGTAAAAATATCTAACGAGCTAGGCTTACCTGCTGCCATGTCATCCAATGGGAACACATATTTTGCTTCAATGGGTTTTGAACTTGAGTTATTATACACTTGCATTACAACGACTTTGGCACAGAGATCCAACAGCTTCGCTCTGATATGAACACATTGTAATGGTACTAAAGTATCGCCTTCAAATCTCAATCCAGGTTTCACTTTGTCCAACGGATCTTCAAGATTTTCTATGTCAGATGTTGTGATGTTAGGAATGTCCTCTTCTTCCTCGGATGAGACGGCTTTCTCGTCAAGTGAGATAGCTGTTGTCGGTTCACATAGGATATTTTCCCTGGAAAGACATCATAATTATAATTTCAGATGCAGAACAGTGTGCTTCCACATTGACTTTATCAATACCACGGGTTTTCTGCGAGATGATCCTTACTGGACCTCTAGGAAGAACAGTTTAGAACTGATAGAGCTATCCAGTATAAATAAAGTTAGTTTAGTTTAGGTTTCCTCCTGTAGTAACACTGGATCAATAAGAGATGATCCTTACTGGACCTCAAGGAAGAACAGTTTAGAACTGATAGAGCTATCCAGTATAAATACAGTTAGTTTAGTTTAGGTTTCCTCCTGTAGTAACACTGGATCAATAAGAGATGATCCTTACTGTACCTCTAGAAAGAACAGTCTAGAACTGATAGAGCTATCCAGTATAAATAAAGTTAGTTTAGTTTAGGTTTCCTCCTGTAGTAACACTGGATCAATAAGAGATATCCTTACTGGACTTCTAGGAAGAACAGTTCAGAACTGACAGAGCTATCCAGTATAAATAAAGTTAGTTTAGTTTTCCTCCTGTAGTAACACTGGATCAATAAGAGATGATCCTTACTGGACCTCTAGGAAGAACAGTTTAGAACTGATAGAGCTATCCAGTATAAATAAAGTTAGTTTAGGTTTCCTCCTGTAGTAACACTGGATCAATAAGAGATGATCCTTACTGGACCTCTAGGAAGAACAGTTTAGAACTGATAGAGCTATCCAGTATAAATACAGTTAGTTTAGTTTAGGTTTCTTCCTGTAGTAACACTGGATCAATAAGAGATGATCCTTACTGGACCTCTAGGAAGAACAGTTTAGAACTGATAGAGCTATCCAGTATAAATAAAGTTAGTTTAGTTTAGGTTTCCTCCTGTAGTAACACTGGATCAATAAGAGATGATCCTTACTGGACCTCTAGGAAGAACAGTTTAGAACTGATAGAGCTATCCAGTATAAATACAGTTAGTTTAGTTTAGGTTTCCTCCTGTAGTAACACTGGATCAATAGGAGATAATCCTTACTGAACCTCTAGAAAGAACAATCTAGAACTGATAGAGCTATCCAGTATAAATAAAGTTAGTTTAGTTTAGGTTTCCTCCTGTAGTAACACTGGATCAATAAGAGATATCCTTACTGGACCTCTAGGAAGAACAGTTCAGAACTGACAGAGCTATCCAGTATAAATAAAGTTAGTTTAGTTTTCCTCCTGTAGTAACACTGGATCAATAAGAGATGATCCTTACTGGACCTCTAGGAAAACAGATTAGAACTGATAGAGCTATCCAGCATAAATAAAGTTAGTTTAGGTTTCCTCTTGTAGTAACACTGGATCAATAAGAGATGATCCTTACTGAACTTCTAGGAAAACAGTTTAGAATTCAGAGAGGGACAATACTGGAACAATAGTGACTATAGTAACTTTCGTCGTATATTCCAAATTAAAGCACGGTACCGTAAACAACGTTAAAGAGTGATTTACAGTATCGAAGTTTGTTGGATCAAAATGTGTGAAACTTTTATTGGGCAAATCACAAACAATATGTTATATAAAACAAAAACACATTACTAGTGTACTCTACATTCTACTCACTGAACTTATCTTGATTGACGATATGGTCAAATGAGTTCAACATTTATAAACAAACTATGTTCGAGATTGATTGTATTAAACAAACTATTTAAAGTCATTACTTACATTTAGTTCTAAAGTAAATTGTTCATAACGGGAATATTATTATAATATCTCACAAATTAAGTTCACACAGCAACAACAGTGTGCAACCATCTTGCTTGAGACATTTCTGGAAGTTCTTGCCATGTATTACTTCCAAAGTTGAAAGCTTTAACTGACTTTAAGACATGTTGTTGGCCATCCTGACCTCCCAGTACTACAATGTTGTTTCCAATAACAACTGCAGTACATCCCCGTCTCTTACATCTCATTCGTGACAGCAAGTGACTTTGTTCAGTCTTGACATTGTAAATGATAACTGTATCTAATGCTTTGCCATGTTTATCAACGCCGCCTATAACAACAATGTTGGCTCCCCATCTCACAGTTGCCATCTCACTCACTTCATACGGCAGTGGTGCCAACTGTTTATATTTATTCTTCTTTATATCATACAGTACGACACTGCTGAGGCTGTCTTGGTATCTGTTAGTTGTTCTTCCACCAACGATCAACAAGTTATCATCAAATAATTGCGTGCTGTGATCCCGTCTTGGTTCTGGCATTCTTGATAAGGTCTTCACAGTATATGAAGAAACTAGCTGGACTTCATGAATATAGTCAGATGCTCCCTTTCTTTCACCACCGCCAGAAACTAATAAGTGATCATTATACAACACACTGCTGTGGCATGTCAACTTAGTAGGTAGTTTAACAGGACAATCACTCCAGTGCATTGAGAGATCAGGGTTTGGGTTGATATTCATTCTAATCATATCATCAACATAGTCAAAACAGTAACCTCCAGCAATTGTCACATGATTGTTGTGAACAAATGAAGTCGCTCCTTCACGCGTCTTTGGCAATGATTGTAATGGCGACCATGTTCTTTGACGCCAGTTAAACATCTCTACAGAGTCAGTTCCTACACCTCCAGCAACAATTATATTTTCCTTATCACCACTTGCTGTATTTCTTACTTTTCTTGGGTTTTCTTCTATCTTGTCCTCCATCTTGACAAGAACATCCTTCATTTCATCAAAACCTTCAATCAAAGCTGTTTTCAATCCTTCAAATTTGCCTTCCATATATGTTTTTATGCCGACCATATTCCTCTCCACATTCGCCATACGTGTTTCCATATTTGCCATATTCGTTTGCATATTCTTCATGTGGGTTTCCATGGTAACCATAGTCTCCTTTCTGACCATATTCGTTGCTATATTCTTCTCGACATTCGCCATTCTTTCCTCCATATCTGCCAACGTTTTTGTCATTTCTCCGCACGAGTGACATTTCAACTTGCGAAATTCACATAGTTCACTTTGATGGTGAACAAGATCACGCTGGTTTAAAGTTACACCACAGCCTTGGTTTGTACAAACGGCTGGTGTAAATCCACATGTAGCCTCGTGACGTTCAAGATTCTCTAATTGTAGGATCTCTTGACAACCTCTGTCGATGTAAATGCAATGAATGTTTAATTCATTTATACAATCTTTTACCATTCGTGGTGGATCGGCCAAAGTCTCTACGGTCAGTTCGTCTGCACACGTAGGGCATCTTCGTGAATTCTCAAGGTGTTTCGTAATACAAGATCGACAGAAACAATGTTGGTTCCTCGGACACAGAACCGGGTCTTTAAGGACGTTGAAGCAAATCAAACAGAGAAAATTCCGACTGATTGTGGTGGCAAACCTTTCCTCATCATAGCCTTGTATGTACGAAGCCATATTTCACGCCATTCTTGTTTCGTATTAAATAACAAAGCAAGTTCTGTGTTGATGTTAGTCGCTCTGTAATATAAACCTCGTAATATAGACTGAATATAGACACAGTGATGGTTCTTGGAGAAAGTCTGTGTTAGTATTTGCTTCAAATCTTTAACAATATAATCGGTTTAAAGCAGAAGACAAATATCGTTTCCGCATAAAGTGTTTAAAGCGTCTTTACTAGACAGGAATTCACTAAAATAGAATATTTGAATATCTTGTGACCAAAGGTCATCACCTGATATTAATACTGGTTTGCAATTGGTTTCATTATGTTGACAAGAATTTCGTGTTTCATAATATGGAAATCAGTTCCCAGAAAATGATCTTCTATACCAAGAAAAATCAATCTTCATAATGTATATAGACTGAGCTAATGTTATCTTGATCAGCGTAGATAAAGTCTGAATTACAACCTGCTTCAAATCATTCACAAACTTATGTCTTTAGCGGAAAAGACAAATATCGCTTCAGTAATAGTGTTCAAAGTGTCTTTCGCAATGGTACGTCGGTGTTTGTTTTGAAAAGAGCACGATGGGTGGTAATCACCTCGTATTGGTGAAACAATATATATGAATGATAAAAATTGATGATTGCGCGACATAAAATGCAACTTACTTTAGTTTTATACTTGGCGAAATTTCAATATCTATAGAGCATGCAGTGCTAATGAACATACAGCACCCAAAAGACAACATAGATCCAGACTATTTCACATGTAATGTATAGTGTGTTGATCTACAGTCAGTATAAAACAGTGATTTACATACAGCACACAAAAGACAATTATACCTCAGTGCCAACATTTTATAATATTAATCATAGATATATTTCTTGTCTTTTGTGTGCTAGCTGTATGTAAATAGAAAATCAGTCTTTACTGACTGTAGAGATATATCAACATTCTATTACATTACATATATGAAATAGTCTGGATCTATATTATCTTTTGTCAGTTTTGTGTACTGTATGTAAATTAGTCTTCACTGACTGGGGATATTTATCGATTAATGCGACACTCTATTATTATACAATACATGTGAAATAGGCTGGATCTACCAATGTAAGGTATGACCACCCATCGCGGTCTTCAGTTCGTAAACAAACACCAGTTTACGATTCCAACAGACGCTTGAAATACTATTACGGAAACGATTTGAAGCAAATTGTAATACAGGCTGTCTGTATCCACATCGCTCATAATGATATGCTTAGTTTATATATACTATCAAGATTGATTTTTCTTGGTATAAAAGATCATTTTCTGGGAACTTATTTCCATATTTCGACACAAGAAATTCTTGTCAACATCAGGTGATGACCTTTGGTCACAAGATATTAAATATTCTATCTCATGCCAGCAAATTCCTGTCTAGCAAAGAGTAAAGACGCATTAATTAAACACTTTATGCGGAATCTATATTGTTAAAGATTTCAAGCAAATACTAACGCAGACTTTCTCGAAGAACGAACACTGTATCTATATTCAGTCTATATAGCGAGGTTTATACTACAGAGCGACTAACATCAACACAGAACTTGCTTTGTGATTACGAAACAAGAATGGCGTGAACTGATATGGCATCGTACATACAAGGCTATGATGAGGAGAGATTTGCGACCACAGTCAATCGAAATTTCCTCTGTTTGATTTGCTTCAACGTTTTAAGAGAGCCCGTCCTGTGTCCGAGAAACCATCATTGTTTCTGTCGTGCTTGTATTACGAAACATCTTGAGAATTCTCGAAGATGCCCTACGTGTGCGGACGAACTGACTGTAGAGACTTTGGCCGAACCACAAAGAATGGTAAAAGATATGTTAAATGAATTAAACATTCATTGCATTTACATCGACAGAGGTTGTCAAGAG